AAAACAGCATAAAGAAGAGGTCAATAATAATTATTTATGAGTCCCTACACTATCATTCAGGCTCAATTACAAAATTCTCATGCATGGAGAAGCATATGACACTGCAATATTTAACCATGGTTATAATCTAAAAGTTACCATCTACAAGGCAATACAAAAACAGAGAAAGAGCCACTAACACTTTGACATAAAGAAACAACGCAAATTGGGTCACGGTGGGGCAAATCACATGCCTCACGTGTCCTGTGGAGCATCCTACACACTTAAAACTTAATGTCAGGCATCATGCACAAACCATTCACCCAAAATTGAGTCAAAGGTTGAAGTCGAAAAAACAAAGCAGCAAAATAACACCCTTAAAAACAAATCAAATGCCAAGGGAAACTGTTTATGACAATAAAAGATGTGTTTGGGAAATGCTCTCATTTTGAAAATTGCGATGTTAAATTTATTATAAGGCTTAAAAATAAAACTAAGTCCAGTATCACTGCATTTGATTCAAGCTCCATCAATGTTCACAGGTAAACACGTAAAATGGAAGTAGATACCAGCACACTGCCCGTCTTTGGGAAAAAGTACAATCTAGCAAATAAACTGTTCTACTTGTATTTATGACAATGTTGGCTTATTAGAAGGAAATAAATTAAAAACCAATCAGGAAAATAGCATGAGGACCAAAACAGCAAAACTTGCAAAGCAGCATTGTAGAACACAATGGCAAAACAGATGTTGGTCCCTGTTATGCGGATTAGAACGGTTTGGGTGTTGAGGGGGTAGAAAGCAAGCGCCACTTTGTACTGCTAAGGAAAAGCGAACTGTCTTCTGTATATTTAGTGTACAAAGATATGACTACAACTCAACACTATGGGACTGTGAAGGCAAAAATCCCGAAAGGAAGGAAGGAAGCTTGTCAGTCCATCAGCATGGGATACATTCATATAATGAACACGAGACAATAAAAATAATGCACTGTACGTGCTATGACAAGTAAAAATGTCCAAAATTATTAAATGAGAAAACAATGACAGCAAAAATGATTTTTGTGTCCAAAGAAAAAAGCGGACACACATGTACACACACATTGTACATCTCGTGTATGCAGAGAAAACTTCTAGACCTGTACAAGAAACCTGAGTAGTACTTGGAAAAGAAGAGTGGGATTGAAGGAGACAGAAAATTTTCACTTTTACCCTTCCACAAGGAAGAAAAAAGAAGCATTTGTTACACTTGGTCAAACATGAAAGAAAAAACTCACAGGTAACTTATTTGTGAAGGTTGCTGGAGAAAGGACTGCTACCTCTAAAATGGCACCAACGCAGACACAATTACATTTACAATAGACTTAAAAATGTTAAATGAATGAAAATTTTTAAAAAGTACAATCGCAATTAAAAAAGCCATAAAAGTTAACTTGGGAAATCGTAGAGTTCAGTGATATAAACGTAGAAACTAGGTCTTGTGAAAGCTATAATTTGCATGTGCTCTTGCTGGAGTCCTCCTGGAGTGTGATCTGTTTAGAATCAGTGTTTTAGAGCTACAAGAGCTGTCAGAAGCACCACATTTTATATTTGCCTCTAGACTACATAATCCCCAGTAACATAAATCCTAGTTCTATTTCAATAACAAAAGTTATTTGTAGAACCTTGTGGACAGACTCATTTATTTTGAATCTCTGTCTGCTTTTAAAACTTCTTTAGAGCAGAGGGCTGTGATTTTACTCACTCTCTATGCCCAGCACCTAGAGCATAGTAAATAAATAGAGGTGCGCAATACACACACACACACGTTTTCTATAGAAAAAAAGGCATTTTTCATTTAACATTTTTAAGTATATTGTATTGTAAATGTAATTGTGTCTGCGTCGGTGCAGTTTTAGAGGTAGCAGTCCCTTCTCCAGCCACCTTCACAAATAAGTTATCTGTGAGTTTTTTCTTTAATGTTTGACCAAGTATAAAGGTGACTTCTGTGCAAAACTATGAAAGATCACGAAGTATGAAACACAGAAAAAACGGGCAAGATTAAAATGTGAAAACTGGTTCTTTGGAATTAGAAGACAGTGTCACCCACAATGTGCTTACATGTCTACAATCTCACCTTTTGCTTCTACCAGTGGAAGAGTGAGTCACCATACTGAAGTCTAAACGTTGGAATTTACAGTAAGGAAGATAAAATAGTATTATTTTAAGATGCTACAGAACAAGACCAAAATGTTGACACCAAATCCATTTCCATTAGTTGTAAGGAGGATGAGGAGTGTGGACGTATTAATAATAGACCTCGCTGTTTTCGGGAATGATGGCCAAATGAGCAGCCCTGGGCGCCTGGGAACCTGGAAGTAGTGCTTCTCAAACCTCATGTGAAGAACTAGTTTTAACCCCCGAATTGTACTCTGTTAGAGATACTTCTGTAAAGCATATTTCTAAAAAATTACTAAAAAAATGATCACATATTTTTAATGCCACAGTAATATAAAATTGCTGTAGAAGTTTCTAGACACTCAATGTCTACACAGGAGCCCAGAGACATGCTTAAGTTTTGTTTTTCAATGTCAATCTGGCCTAAAATCTTGCATTTGTGTAAAGAGGGTCTCTCTTTTTTTTTAAAACTACTCAATAATGAAGATAATCTATAAGAAATACTTAAAAGGTTGCATAGACTTGTCATTAACTTGTTTTAATTTTAAAATGTAAAACATTTTGTCACAATGTCTTACTGAATTATCCTTTTGAATGCAACTTTAGCATTTAAGAATTTCAACTCCTATCAATTTGAACATTTTGCTTTATCTTGCCATTTTTCTTAGAAG